GGCGTCTGTAGACAGCACACCGGCTCAACAGCCTTGCTGAGTTAAGACCCTTTGGGAGTCTTGGGTAAGGCTCTGCCTTTTCTCCACTTCAGTTAAGGGTTTTTTGGTGCTGAGCCCTGGGTCCCTTGTGGTTTGTCTCTTTGCAGTTGCTGAAGAGGAGCAAGTGGGGTGCCATGGAGCATTCCTGAAGATCAGGAAATGCAAGGCAAAGCTTTGCATCCTGTGGTGGTTAGCTATGGATTCAGCCTGGGGCTTGGCTGGAGGAGTAAAGGACATGAGGTCTATGGTCCTGCCGAGGGGCAGCCAATGGTGGCAGGAGGCAGCTCAGGCCAGGCGGTTTTGCTGCTGCTTCCTTTGTCACTAGCAGGCATAGGGAAACAACCAAACCTGCCTTTTGGTGAGGGTGAATGAGCCCCTCGATGTGGTCATCTAATTTCCAGGAGCTGCCTTTGATGAGGGTAGAACTGTGCCCTCCAGCAGCAGGCTCTCCTCATCAAAAGCCCTCTTGTATGTTAACCCCACTCTTGATGAACCTGAAAATGTTAGCAATGGCAAAACGTTGAGCCCCTTCTTACTTGGATGCTATTTTCAGATGAGACCTTTGGATCCAAGATTAAAAAGTACTGGGTACAAAAGCGGAAGGAAGTGGATGTGTTGTCTGTGTTTGCCCTGTGCCTGGAGTGATTGTGTGTAAGTAGCCTGTGTATCCACAGTATGGAAGAAAGGGTGTTTTTGAGTTATTCTGGCAGTGGAAGCTGATGTCATGTGGAAGCACCTCAGGGAGGTGCAGTGGTCTCCTGCACTGGGTTACTGGCAGGGCTGGTCTGCCCTTAAGATGCGAACAGGTAGCACATCTTATTACCTGGAAAAAGGGGAAATTGCCAAGTAACTACAGTTAAGTTTCCCACTGCGCTCTTTTATGGAAGTTGTTTTGTTGTTGTTTGGTTTGGTTTTTCCAGAACTCTTCCTGCAGGAATACCATGTCACATCCAGTCTTTCTTACAGCTTCACGATATAGAATCCCAGACTAGTTTGTGTTGGCAGGGACCCCTTCCACTAGAGCAGCTTGCTCCAAGCCCCTGTGTCCAACCTGGCCTTGAGCACTGCCAGGGATGGGGCAGCCCCAACTTCCTTGGGCAACCCCTTGAGTGTTGGACATTGAAATACTACCCTGAAATCAAACCTGTTAGAAGAATAAACAGGGCCCACAGCTGTAGATTCCTGCCTTTTCTATCTCTAAAAGTTAATTGCATTGGAAATGGCATCTTCCTTTGAGCATCAAAGACCGTAGCATCCATAGAGTTTATTTTGCAGTGGTCTTTCTTGTTGGTGTTAGGAAAGGTTTTGTGGCTCTGGTACCCTCTCCTGCACTCATCCTCCTGGGCACCACCACAAGGTATGAATGAGATGACTTTGCATCTGCAGGGCTTAGGTTGGGATGGGTTGAAGCTGTACAATGTGGACTTGCTCCTGTATCAGACTGGACCAGAGCTGGCTGAGCCGTGTTACCCCAGCACCTGCTCTGTGGTCCGTCCTCTCTGTGTACCCCAAACATCTCTCCACGCTCTGCACTTAGGAGAACCAGCCATGTGCTGCTCCTATGGGTTAGCTTGGGAAGCCCTTCCCAGTGGTGTGTTTGCCCACAGAGGGGCCAGCCCTTGTTCTGGGAGTTTAAACAAGATAACTGGAGGGCAAGGAGAGCCTGCCGTCCCTCCAGATAGCAGCATCTCAGAGAGCACCAGCAGACTATGGTTTGTCATCTGTGAGAAATGTTTGCGTTTGACAGCTTTTCACAGGAAGCCTGTCAGAGTGATAATTTAATGAGTACAGATTGCTTGCAACACAGCTGTAAAACGTGCTTTTACAGTGCTGTAAAATAAGCAACCGAGGCCTTTGTGTGTTTGCTTTCTTTGAGAACAAGTCAACTTCTAATACAAATAAAAGGTGGTCATTTATTTTGCCCAGCAAACAGTCAAGACATAAGCGAGGAGCCTGCCATGTTTCTTCTTGTGCTGGCAAGGTTAATGCTGGGTTATGTTGGTGGTTGCTGATCAGCTTGTTTCTGTGAAGGGGAGAACTAATATCTAATTAGATTGAGGGAGTTACTGGTCAGATGAGCATTGAAGTCATAAAAAGGGGTTTTGGGCTTGCTTCTCTTCATTGCAGAAATCTCTGCCCGTGGTTTGCACAGAGAAAAGCTCGATGCTCCTTCTGTGCCCAAGCTGAGGGAGACAGAAGCTGAGGATGCGCAGTTAGAGCGTGCCAACAGCTAGGGTAAAGCAGATCTATATTTATCACTTAATCTGTGCTGCTGACCAAGTGAAATGCTGTGCATTGCGTGGAGGAAGATACTGCTGCGAGTGTCCCACTGTTGGGTTCATCCTGCGGCCCCCCGTCCCCAGGGCTGTGCTGGGTATTCCTTCTTCCCACATTCCCAACCTCATCCATGTCCAGGAGCGTCGATGTGCCGGCAAGGCCATCCATGTGCCAAGCCACTGGCACCAGGGCATCCTATGGTTTGGGATGCAGGCATGTGCTGGTGGGAAGCCTCATGGGGCAGGAGGGTGGGTGCTGCCTCTGTGCTGCAAACATACAGACTCCTCTGTCCTCCTTCTCTCCTGATGTGGAAAGGGGCGCTTGGGAATGGGTGTTTCCTGCCTATGGAAGCGCTGGCTGCTGCTCGAGCCAGAGGTGATGGCTTCTTACCTACCTGGTGCCTTCTTCCACAGTGCTGTGTTGGGGCTTTAGAGGTGGCTGGGTTTGGGGGGAAGGTTTCCTTTCCTTTACCTTCCTTTTGGGGAAGGTAAATAAAGGTGTTTGCTGCTAATTAGGTTGTATTTTATTTTCAGGATAATTAACGAACATACCTGATTCTAACCCATGTGAAAAATTGCTAAGAGACCAAGTGCTCTAAAGCCCGGGTTCAGTTTATTCAACTTCCATTTTCGAGTATAACCAATAAATGAATTTGGGCAAGAGACTGAATTGATTATGGTAATATGGGTATATTACTTGAGGTGATTTTTGTGGCTTACAACAGTGCATTTGGGTTCCTTTAAACCAGTGGTTGGAGCTCTCTAATAAGATTTCCCATCAATAGAATTTTGAGATCTTAATTCTTTCTGAAGAGTTTGCTGGTGCATCTGCCAGCTCTTGTGCCTGGCAAAAAAAGCCTATTGAAATAAACAACTGATTTGGTGCTCCGAAAAGGTCTGAGCAAAGGAAGGAAGTGAGCCTTCAAAATGATGAAGTGAATTAGAAATTAATATACACCAAGCTAATCTCTATAGTATAAACTGCACCGAAAAAAACCCTTCCTGCAGAGGAAATGCCAGTCATGGGAACGAAAGTGGAGGTTCCTGCTGATATTGGACAGAGGACGTGTTGGGTGTTTGAAATCAATCTCTTCTTCCCTGGATCATTTCTCTTGTGCTCCTAAGAGGCTGTGTTATATACAGCCATGTCAGGCCCGGAGCGCCATGACTCTGCTGGTCAGGAACTCCAGGAATGTTTCAGTTTTTCCAGAAAATGTTTTCTGTGTTAGGCTTTGCTTGTCCTGGAGCACTTTGAAGACGGAAAGCTGAACTTGAGCATACTTTTAATACGTTTGAACAAGGTTTAAATTCACACTGGGCCAAAATAGCCCTCCCCCCTTCTCCTTCTAACAACTTCTGGCTCTAAACGCGGCTCCTTGGAGGATTAAAAAACCCCGGAGAGGCATGTTTTAATATAAAATATTTATTGACAGTGAGTCACAGAGGTCTCCATCCTCAATTGCTGGTGGCATGCATGAAATCATACCCTTCCTTGCTGGGACCGTGCGTGGTGGTGGAGGCTGTGCCCGCGCCCCGGGGTGTCGGTGTCCCCACGGACCTGGAGCAAGCAGGCGGTAGCACCACTGGCATGGGAGGGTTTGTCCTGGTAGCACCCACCCGTAGCTCCTTCCCAAGGCCATGGAGCGTGGAGTTTTGTTCCGAAATGGCCCAAATGTATTTGTGTCAATGGACTCTTCCATGGTTTGATTTTATTTTGCTTGTTACTTTACTTGCTTGTTACTTTACTTGCTTGTTACTTTACTTGCTTGTTACTTTACTTGCTTGTTACTTTACTTGCTTGTTACTTTACTTGCTTGTTACTTTACTTGCTTGTTACTTTACTTGCTTGTTACTTTACTTGCTTGTTACTTTACTTGCTTGTTACTTTACTTGCTTGTTACTTTACTTGCTTGTTACTTTACTTGCTTGTTACTTTACTTGCTTGTTACTTTACTTGCTTGTTACTTTACTTGCTTGTTACTTTACTTGCTTGTTACTTTACTTGCTTGTTACTTTACTTGCTTGTTACTTTACTTGCTTGTTACTTTACTTGCTTGTTACTTTACTTGCTTGTTACTTTACTTGCTTGTTACTTTACTTGCTTGTTACTTTACTTGCTTGTTACTTTACTTGCTTGTTACTTTACTTGCTTGTTACTTTACTTGCTTGTTACTTTACTTGCTTGTTACTTTACTTGCTTGTTACTTTACTTGCTTGTTACTTTACTTGCTTGTTACTTTACTTGCTTGTTACTTTACTTGCTTGTTACTTTACTTGCTTGTTACTTTACTTGCTTGTTACTTTACTTGCTTGTTACTTTACTTGCTTGTTACTTTACTTTTAACTCATCTACACCAAATCTCCTTGGCAAAGGGTTCGTGGTAATTGCAGAATCAGGGAATGGTTTGGGTTGAAGGCACCTTAAATCTCCTGACTTGTGTGATGGGATTCAGATTTGCATCGCAAGAGATTTCATTCTTGCAAGTCTTCCAGTCTGGAGAGGGTTGGTTTAGGAAGAGTAACCCAAAATGTTGAGGTCTAGAAATGGTGTGAAATTCTTTAGGGAGCCCTTTAACCTTCCATTTCATGCAGGCGATGGTCTCGTTGTGGTGAGTTTCCCAGCTCAGCAGTGCTTGTAGCATGTGCCAACACTCCTGTTCACCGGATCTTCTCTTCCCCTTCTAGAGTTCTTCAAGGAACTCCTCGAAAACGCGGAGAAGTCCCTGAACGACATGTTCGTGCGGACGTACGGCCGCTTGTACATGCAGAACTCGGAGCTGTTCAAGGACCTGTTTGTGGAGCTGAAGCGGTACTACGTCGGTGGCAACGTCAACCTGGAGGAGATGCTCAACGAGTTCTGGGCGCGCTTGCTGGAGCGCATGTTCCGGCTGGTGAACCCCCAGTACCACTTCACGGACGAGTACCTCGAGTGCGTCAGCAAGTACACGGAGCAGCTGAAGCCCTTCGGGGACGTGCCACGGAAGCTCAAGCTCCAAGTGACGCGAGCGTTCGTGGCTGCCCGCACCTTCGCGCAGGGCCTCGCCGTCGCAAGGGACGTTGTGAGCAAAGTGTCCGCGGTGAGCTCCGTGTTGTGGTTATTCCCATGTGATGGGTAGTGTCTTTCCCTGTTGTCCTGATTGGGTACCTAAAGGTGTTGGTGGCAGTTGAGTGCAGGTAGGACCAAAGTCTGTTGATGTAGGCTGTGCAAAGAATCATAGAATGGGTTGGGTTGGAAAGCACCTTAAGTTTGTCCGGTTCCAACCCCCTGCCATGGGCATGGGTGCCTCACACTAGACCATGTTGCCCAAGCTCCATCCAACCTGGCAGTTCTTCCAGGTTCATCCAGCCTCCAATTCTTCCTTATATCTAAGTTGAACTTCCCCTCTTTAAGTTTAAACCCATTACCACTTGTCCTAGCGCTACATTCGTGCATGGTAGGTTCACATTCTGGGGACACCACCATCCAGTGCTGCAGCCTGGCTGCTGGGATGCTCCCCAGCTTGATGCTGTCCTCCTGTCTAGGGAACAGCAACAAGCAGGAAATTAAATGCCTGCTGCAATGGAAATAACCATGTTTACTTGTGTAGTGGCCCTGTCTTCTTCTTAATATTGCCTTCAAATTACAGTGAGTCATGGATGCTATGGGCATCTATTATGGAGCAGCTGGTTATTTGCTCCTTGCTCCCAGGCATGGGGAGAGCAAACAGTGCTTTTATGATAACAGTAAGCCAGAGTCACATGCAGAGGGCAGGAGCCAGTTGTACTCAGTTCCACACATGCAGCACAAGTTAGACCCCAGACTTTTATGGTCAAGTCATTTGGGGGGGATCAAACAGCTGTGGTGTGTTGCTCTCTTGTATGTTTACCTCCCTGTTCTTAGAAACCACTTTGGAGTGGTTTAAATGGGGTGACGTTTTCTTTTGATATAAGATCTGTCTTTAATTTTAGTCTAAGGAGCAGGTGTAGTCAATAATCCCTTAAAGTGATGTGCAAGATAACAAATATTTGTGATTTCCTTTGAACAAACCCAGCTAATTTCCTGTGGGCTCCGGAAGATTTGGTACAATCATTGAATTGGGCAGAGAGAGGTTTACTTCCTCTCTACCTGCTTACGGAGTAATAAAACAGCAGGCTGAAAGAGCAGGCAGTAGCTTGAATCACCCAGGAAAGGGGAAAAAGGAAAGGCAAACCAGAAAAGAAAGGAGTTAAGGTATTTTTAGAAGCAGACTGCAGTTTTGGAGGCAGCAAAAGAAGCATCACTGAGGGATAACCATTGCAATTCCTTTGACTTGCAGGGATAATGTTAAAATACTGTCTTTCTGGAAAGGGGAAAAAGTCTGCTTCCATGCTAATTCTTCTTGAAAAATGAGAAAAAGCAGCCTGTGATAAGCCTGCATGTGTGTGATAGGGCAGAGGATATTAGCAAGGGCAGCGCTGCCATATCCAGGCTCCAGGGACAAGTTGTGCATTAGTGGTGGCGGATCCCTGGACACAATGACTCCCCATCTAATAGTGTGGGCTCTTGGGATAGACATGTATACGTGCCACTGGTTGAGGATGGCTGTTGTGGAGCTCCATGGGTGACATAGGGGTCCCTCTGATGAGACCATAAAATCCTTCAGCCTCAGGGACACTGTCCTGTGGTGGGAAGATGGGATGGTGCTGGGTGAGGCCAAGTGTGATGTCTCCATGCCAGGTCACTGGCCAAGACCTGTTGGTTGGGGTTTCAGCTTTGGTGGCTCCTGTTTCTGGCTCTGGGGCAGATGCTGTGCTCAGAGATTGGGGTTTTCGCTGCCGGATGTGGATGAAGTATTCGGGTGGGAAGTCTGTGTTAAGCCTTAGCGAGGTTTTAGGGAATGTGCAATCACTTGATAGGCAGTGAACGTGCATGGGTGGGGGATCGTGTTTATGCTCCATCTGCTCAGAATTCATCAAAACGTCTCCAGACTTGACACGGAACAGCGAGGGCTTCGGTCCCCTGCATCTGTTATGAATCAGAGTCATGGAGCTGAGGTGGTGTCGTGATTTCTCCTTCCCTTTGAAGATCCTTGAGTATAGAGTTGCTTTCAGCCCTAGAATGAATTGCTCGAGTGCGGAAAGCTACCCAGAGACCCACTCAGCTGCAAAAACAGCTCACGTGTCATGGACAATCGCAGTTCCTGCGCTTCCCACTTCACTGTCACAAGTTGCCCTGGAAATCCTGCAACAGATTGACTTTTCCAAGCAGTAGCCAAAGTCCCTGCTGCCGAATAAGCTTCGGTTGCAGCAGGAGAAGGAATAATAATCTCTTCTGTAGGGTTTTAATCTCATTCACTGGAAATCTAACATCACATTTCTGCAGGATACAATGGGAAACTCTATCTGCGAGTTTAAAAGCTGCTGTTTTTAAGCCTGCTGCTTTGCGGTTGTGTTTTGGGGCTTCCCACATTACATATAGATTAGCCCGGCTTTGCTGAGCTCTGTATAATGACTCTATTGACTTTGCTTCCTTATTATTTTTACTCGGGACTTGTAGTGGGATGGCTGCTTGTACCAGGGCTTAACTTGAGGGGTAAATCTTCTATTGATGAAAAAATGTCCAAAGTGATGCAAATGAGTTTTCCTTTTAGCACGGTTTGTAACAAGCAAGTTAAAAATGCTTAATTGAAAATCCTCAGGAGGAGAAATCCAAAGTACTGCAAGGCCCAGCTGCTCCTTACTTTCCTGGGGTGCTGTCAGGAGAGGGAAGAGCACTTTACAGCAGAACAGCCTTGATGGCTTTTTAATGATCCTGTGTGTTTTTACATCTTCGCTTGGGAGATGCGTTTAGAAAGGTATTGTGAGTTTGGGAGCGATGGGGGAAAAGAAGTGAGAATATTGAAAAGCTGCAAGTGTGCTTGATTGCTGAGCCAAAATGACTTTGAGTTCAGCCTTGGATGGCTCAGAACCTCTGTGCTGCTGCCCAAGCACGCACCAGAGAGAGAGCTATTGGGTTCTGAGAGAAAGCACAGATTTTGTTTCAGACTGTGTCTAAAAACCACAAAGTTTGTGATGCTCGAGTGTTCACCTCTCAAATTCCCTCCTTTGGACCCCAAAGGTACAAAATCCTCCAGTTCCATCCTGAACAGCCGGTCTGAGAAGAAATCCCAGGATGCTGTTTGTGCCTGCTGGAGATGTGTCCTGCATCTGAGGTGGGCTGCAAGGGGCTGGGGGCCTCCAGCCTTCCCCTCTGTTGCCTGCTGATGCTTGGTGCTTTCTGTGACCTTGCTGCCCCTGCCCTGGGGAGACGGAAATCTGCCCATCCCCTAATTGCTCGCTTGCTACTTAGCCCTTGACAAGCACTGAAATCAGCCGGGTTAAATTGCTGCCAGCAGTGACATTTCCTGCCCCAGCCAGGGCAGGGGAAAAGGAGCAAATACAGGCCAGAGCCCAGAGTGACCGAAGAAAGGATGAGAACCAGCAACTGGGCAGTTCTCAAGCTGCAGGGATGTTCCCATAATTACTTACAAGCGATTAAATCCACGGCCTGGTCGAGGGTCATAACACCTTTGAGGGCAAAGTGCCCTCAACTATAGGCACAGGATGGAGATCCCTGTTGTGGGGGGAGAAGAAGGTGGTGAAGTCAAGGGCTGAGCTCGGGAGGACCCTGCTTGCCCTGCAGGATGAGGTCAACAGCAGAGGCACGTGAAGGATGAAGGCACCCAACATCGAATCCCTGTGTTTGTGCTGCCATCTCTCCGTAGTGTTGCAGATGGGGACCTGCAGATGGGACCTCCTGCAGCCGCAGTGGTGGTGCGAGTTTTCTGCAGCCCCTCCAGGAGATTTATGCTGATGAACTGTTGTTTTGGAGTTCTTTCACCACTTTTTCCTCTTGCCCTTGTGTCTGATAGGTTGAGGAACTGCTGGGAGCACAGCTTCTATGAGGAATACACCTACCCCCCTTTGGCATCAAGAGACTGAGAGCCTAGAGGAAGCTGCAGGGATGTTTGCTCACGGGGGCTGGAGCAGGCTCAGCTTCCTTCGTATCAGCATTTCTCCCTTAATGAAGTGTGATGATAGCAGCCAAGTAGGGAATTTTCTTCAAACCGTTTATGGAAGAGAATTGCGGAGGGGACACTGGTGATTGCCTTCCCACAGCATTCCCAGAGCTGGAGCGAGAAGCCTAGAGCCTTAACTTCTTTTGATCTGAGCTGCGTCAGCTCTAGTGAAGCATCTGTCCATGGAGAGCAACTTGAAGCTCTGAGCCTGCATAAACCAACCTACCACTGACCTGTGTGAGCTCCCTTACCTCCAGCTGCATCTCCCGAGTCCTTTTTGGCATGGATGCTGGATGTGGACCAGACATTAGCTTGGGAGAATCATAGAATGGTTTAGGTTGGAAGGGACCTTAAAGCTCACCCAGCTCCAACCCCTGTCACAGGCAGGGACACCTTCCACTACTAGAGCAGCTTGCTCCAAGCCCCTGTGTCCAACCTGGCCTTGAACGCTGCCAGGGATGGGGTGAAGTGGTGCTAAAAGTAACAAACCAATGAATGAGTAAGAATTAAGGCCTGTAGGATAAAAAATGTTAAGACACAGAGATCCCATTAGAGTAAAAGTTATGCTCCTTGTGAGCACCATTGGTGTATCTAAAAGTTTAGTCAGAAAGCAAAGGTCCAATCTCCCCTTGGGTGGTTTTTGCCCTTGGTTTGACTTAAAGGGAATGTGACCTTAATCCTTTCTCCAGCAAGAAGTTCCTATTTCTATACCCAGTGACACTGGGCAACCTCTGGGCAAGAGCAAACCCTCCTGGGGAAGTGAGACAAATGAAATGTGTTGCTTGAATGTGTAGAGAGGAGCCGAGGTGGGGGGAGATGCTGCTGCTCCATTGGCAACTGGGAAACAGCCAGGAGGAGCCCTTTTAGCGTTGCAGAAGGACCTCCAGTGCTGTCCAGGTGGCAAGTTACAAGCCATGGGGCCAGACCGAGGGGCTGCTCTGCACAAGGACATCGCCTTCCGTATGCCAAGGGCAAACATCAATGCAGAAAACAATACCAAGCACTTCTCCACATCAAAGATGACCCTGAGAAGACCTGCCAAGAATGTGGCTGCATCTGCC